TCTTGTCTTGCAGTCTCTGAGACAGAAATATGATATGTTCCTGCACTGGTAGGAGGTTTGCAATGAATTCAACAGAAGCACAAAGTTGATAATATTATTTCTAGTCTTGTCTTGCAGTCTCTGAGACAGAAATGTGATATGTTCCTGTGTTGGTAGAAGGTTTACAATGAATTCAACAGAAGCACAAAGTTGACAATATTATTCCTGTCGTGGTTTTGACTGGTGAATTCCTAATAGACTAATCTGGTTTCCTCAATAAGATTAATACGGCTAGTAAGTACCTGAAGAGTCCCGTGTATAGCCCAGAATATTTGCTTTTGAAATACAAATTAGTCCAGCTCACAGCTGAGTTAATTAGTAAAGAAGCTTCTTGTAGTCAGATAGGTTGGTATTCCTTGCTGGAAAGATTACCATCTGTGGTTTGGTTGGTTGGTTTTTTTCAACAGTAATATGTATCTGGGTCCAAATTTCTTCATTACACAATATCTGAGATCCATGCTGTCTGATGAAGCTTTTATAATGACTGCTATCATGGTGATTAAATGGTCGTTTGATCTGTTTATTTCTGGAAGGTTGTCAGGCAAGATGTATAGCCGTTCTTGATATATCTTGTCTTAACAGATCGAGAGGAATATGTTAAAGTGCTGTGATTATACAGTTCTTTCTAAAGTGTTAGCAATTAATATAAAATTTGTGGGTTTGGTTTTTTATTTGTTATGTTAGGATGGACGATTGAAGCCTGGAGATCAACTTGTATCTATAAACAAAGAGTCAATGATTGGTGTCTCCTATGAAGAGGCAAAAAGTATAATCAACAGAACAAAGACAAGGTATCTGTTACTGTCAAGCTAACCCTCCAAAATGGTTTATTGTATGATATTTATGACCAGATTAATGTGAAATAGCTTGTCATGTGTAGTTAGAGGAAACGCAAGGGATATTAATTTTTTTGAAATATTCAATTGCAATATTATTTCATAGAAAAATACTCAAATGCATCTTCTAGACCTATAAAATTATGATGCTTTCATTCCTTACAAAAGAAAAAACCCAAACCCACAGTATTTATCTTTTTTAATGATGGGGAATAGAACATCCTTTTAGAAAAATAATTCAATAAAATCACACAGAGTGTTTGGGAAAATGTAATTTTTGCAAGAGTAATGTATAATCTTATGAACGGTATAGTATACAATATGTTGAAACTTTTTAAATTTTAATTTTAGGTTTGAAAATTTTTGGGAGATAGCTTTTATTAGACAAAAAAATATTCCCAGTTATTCAGAGAGTCTGCAACGGCCTTCCAGCCTCTTAATGTCTTCTGTAGCATATGGAGAGCAGCAGGCTGCGGTATTTAGTTCACCTGCATCTCCTAATGAGAAGCTTGTTTCAACATTCACTCTGAATGCTGTGAGTATACTTACTACTCCTCTTAGCCTAAAGTGAGCAAATGGTGTTTTTTTCCTAATTTTACCGGAATTTCAGTATAGGGTTATTTTAATTCAATTTCCATTCTAGTAAGAAAATGACTGGCTCTTTTTCCTGCACAATACTAATTTTTTGGAATGTCAAGACTTTTCCAGAAAACATGTTGTGTAACAGTAGAGTAAACCACACTGGTGAGAGGAATAAAAGTATTACCTGACTTGTGGTAAGAAAAGGAATAAAATAAGTGTTAACCATGTTCTTGGATACAAAGTTCTCCTTACTCTTTCTCTAGGGAGCAAAGTTTCAGAATTAGCTATGTATTTCAGAGATGAAGTACTCTCTGATTACTACATATGTGTGAGTACAGTACAGTCTCACAAGTTACACTTCCTCCATAATGATGAGATTTTTGCTTAAAAATCAGAGTCCTAGAAGAATGTGGTTTTTCTCCACTTCCTTTCAGCTAAGCAACAATTGTTGTTTTAATTCATACAGCTCACCATTAGTGTAAAGAAGTAATGTTCACCATAAGAAAGAATATTTTAAAACTACTCTATTTCAATTTAAAAAAAAAAAAATTCAGTTTATTGAATTTTTAAAACTAAATATAGTATTATCTGAATAAGGAAGAAAATGTTGCATGTCAAACACAGGTGATTCTCAATTGTTCTTATGTTTGTACTTAAAATTCTTGCCCATATTTCTTTCCTATCAGAGATACAAACATTGAAACAGGTTGTCTAGAGAGACTGGGCTGTCTTAATCTGTGAATATATTCAAAACTTAACTAAGGTTTTGATAAGGCCCTGATCTATTTTTTTTGATTGGCATTACTTCTCACTACCACCACCACCTCCCTATGCCTTCCATTGTCTCCTAGGGTTCTTTTGATCTATCCAGCCCTATTTCTCCCCCTGGTCTTCCTTCCTCTCCCTCTCTTTTCCATTAATGTGTATTTCTAGTTTGGCTTGTGATCTGCTTTAGAAATGGTATTTCATGACTTTTGATTTTCTTTTATAGATGGAAACTGGAGTCAAGATGGGAGAGCAATCTCCGATTACTTCTCTAGACAGCAGTCCTACTGATGTGTCTGCCACTGGTAAATGCTGATTTAATTCTCTGCCACCCTTTTTTTCTTCAATAACTGTCATACAGAAAATAGTACATAGTGAGACTCAATGGTCTTTAAAAAAAAGGATCATTGCACTATTTTGTAGTACTAAATAAAGGACTGAGATCAGTGGATTGTTGAGTAGCTTCTGTCAAATATAACTTACATTGTCTTTAACAAACAGCTGAAACCAAACAAAAATGAGTGATCACAACATTTGCTATACAGCAGTAATGATAATAGTCTCAGTAGAAACCAGATAATGAAGACTCACATATAGATCAAGATCAGGTTGCCATAGAAACTGTGCTTTCTTCATTTAATGAAATTCTGTAGATGTATACTGCTTGCACTTTTTTTTTTTAAAATCAGGGCAACGTATTGGAAGGATAGAAATAACATGCAGACCTCTTTAACAATTTTTCAATTAATAACAAATAGAATATATATAGGTATATTTATATTTGAGGGACATGACGTTCAAACAAAGACAATAGTCACCTTGATCCTATCTCTAAATATGTGTTTTTGAAAACAACACTAAGGAAAGATTGAGGTTGTGGAGTTTGGTCAGAATCAAATCTGAACAATCCTAATTCCTTTGGGAAACAAATGTGTTGTATTTACAAACAGTGAAAATGCAGTAGTCTGACATCATAATGAGAGTCTCAACTGACACAATAATATAACTGATTCTGTTTTGTATTTCTGTATGAAGACCTGAAGTATATTCTTTTTCTTCAGGCAGTAGTAAGTAAGCATAACCTATCCTTCTTCTCAACTTGATGGCTAATATACTGAGAAGAGGAAGGACAAACGTACAGGATCTGATTCATTCTAGATATCGCTCCACTGATGTTATTTAAATTGTACCTGCATTTGTTATGGCCCGTATTAAATATCCTAATTTTAAATGAAACATCCTCCATATTGCAAATCTGACCAGTAGACTTCCTTCCTTGAAGGGTGAGCTGACTGAATGTGAACTTTAGATACTGGAAAGGTTGTACTATTGAATACAGCTGCAGTTTAATGATCACACAGTGTTTTCATATTGATCATGAAAAAGACCACAACTAAATGAGAGAAACAAGACAAGGCTATTTTTTAATATATTCAGAATATAAGACTCTTGGTTAATATAATGCAATACACAGGAGCTTGTGTTGTTTAAAGAGACCATGAAGGCAGTGGTTTCTTAACGTATATGAATAACATAGCTAGTAGCGTGGAAAGCAGAAATACTTGCAGCTCCAGTTTGTACTGTTTCTTGTAATTTTTCGTTTTAGTCTTCTTTAATGGCACACGCGTAGTCAAAGCTGCCACTTCTCTCATGCTGCCCTTTTTCAAGGATAACCTTTCAAAGATAACCTTGAAAAATAAAAGTAGCTCTTAGATTTGATTTTTTTTTTTAATGCAGTAAGAAAATTAGCAAAATTTTGAGAAATTCTTGCACAAACTCATACACAAATCTTTTTCATTCTGAGTTGAGAGGAAGTGTGCCAATTCAGCTGAGGTTCTAGCCCACTGTCTTCAGAATTTAATATAGCATGTGAGAGGTGTTAGTGTCAGAGATTTTCAAGATGTTTTGGTTTATGCTTTTGGCATATAAAGAGAATGTAAATTACTTTGAGCTTGGAAACAGATATGCTGTGAAACTGAAAAAAAAAAGAAAAACACAACTCTATGCGATTCCTTCTGTTCCTTTAGAGTGAATCTCAAACTGCAAGATCCTTTAGTTTTCAAATGCTCGTTTTGGTTTCAGTACCTCTCTAGTCCATTAATGAAATAATGAATTAAGATCTAAATTATATTTGTAAATAATGAACACAAACAAATATTCCATTTTCTTCTGCAAAAAAAAAGTCAATTAATTTGTTCTATTTACATACATCTAAAATCCAAAGAAATGGATAATTAACTGCTCCATTTGCCTACTGTCTGTGATCAAAGGCTTCCAAATGTTGCTGCTTCTTGTGTGGTATCCACAGGTGCGTCTGAAACATGACAAAGCTGTGACTGCATTTCTCAAGTTCCATTAAAACTAAGCACACACACCAAAGAAAAAAGCAATTCTGAAACCTTGCGTGTGGGCTGCTTAGTACTGGTAGTTTCTTTTCCTTTCCTCAGCCTAATCATTTGTGTATGTTGGAAATGAAATAGATGCACCTTAAGTTATTAATGCAACTAGCAATGTATTTCCGACTATAAGGACTGGAGAGGAGGGTATAATGGATGATGGCTTAATGGATAGTAGCTCTTGAAAAAGAGTTCTCCCCAGGAAAAAATACTGAGGACCCTGCTGCAATTCAGTCTAAGCTACTTCCACAGAGCCGTTAGCTGGCAACAGGTCATTCTCTGTCTTTCCACAATGTTTTCTAGATCACTAGGTATGCTTTTGGGAACTGTTGATTATGCTGAGGGTGTGTCTTGAAGGTCTTTCTCAGAATTCACAAGTGTGTTTCCCCTTCTGTTTTCAGATTAACTGTGTATCTCAGAGAAGAGAAAATACCACGAGTATAAGCCATATGCTTGATGGATCACTCAAAGTTATTCCTAGTTTCTTTCTGCTAATTTGCTACTTGTCACTTTTTGATGTGAAAAAACAGTTTTAAGTGATTGATACCCATAATTTTTGTTTATTACGATTATGTCCTTTAAAAAAAACTCAATCTAACTATTACCCATGGGCCACAAATAAATGTTATTTAGCTGACATCCATTTGATAAGCAGAGCTTCAGAACAAATTTTTCAAAGCAATAGTTACACCTATACTGTTACTTAATTTTAATTTTTTTCCTTAGTTATTGCCCCCAGCCAGGATGATGATTATGAGCTGCAAGGAAGGAACTCTACTATCCGTCTCAAAGCGGAAAAGCTGGAGAGGGTAAATACTTATCTCTTGAGTTTTCCTTTCTCCGCCTTCATGATGCATGTAAAACGTCTGGAGAATATTTCCAGGCTGACTAACTTTAAGGTATAAATTATACACCAAATTTTCTATTTGGATAGTTCTTTCAGGTTGCAGGCCAATATTTCATTTTATGTGTTGGGCAAATTAGTGTTTTTGTTAATCTAATTACCGATTAACTCTTCTGGGAATCTGAACATCCCTCAGGATTTTTAAGGCAGTTATTAAGGACAACGGGGTTTGCTTATTACACTTATCTGTATTCAAGGTTAAATAATATCTGAACGTCTCTCAATTAGAAAGAGAAGTCACAGAGTACCTCTGGAATAAAAGTGTTGTATCGTAGTACACTTTCACTGACAAAGGCTCTTGAAGTATAGCTCTTTAATTACTCCCCCGTGTCCCTGTAGTCATTATCCCTAGTCCTTTCTTTTTTTTCTTCAAAATAAGTTTTCTCCTTCCAGGCATTGAATTATCTTGGGATTCAGCCTACAGATGAACAGCAGCAAGTCCTAAGGCAGCAACTTCAGAAAGATTCTAAAGGAACAGTGTCTTTTGGAGGTAATAATTTGTTAATTACCATGGAAAATAATGAAATGTAGGAATATAGAAATGACAGATAATAACCATTAATATATTTTCTGTCAGTATTGGGTTGCTACTGCAAATAAAATGATACTTTGAGGCAAGAATCTTATTCTACTATATAAAAATAAACTTGGAATTCTGAAACTAAGTAATTGGAAAGCAGATCACAAATATATTTAATTAAGAGCAGCCTTGAGAAAGTTTTTATTTTTGTGCTCACAAATTCCTACATTTTTGCCTTGACAATAGGGTACTGTAATTGTTCCAAAAATTACTTGAGAAAGTACCGAAGGTTAAAGAGAATTCTTGAAGCAGCTAAACTGGCAGATTATTGAACTTGTTTAGTTTGTGAGAAGCAAGAACATTTCAACTATTGCATATAGAAAGAGATTTGCATGGAGACCATCGTGATTCTTCTTCTAGCTAAACGTGATTCTGATAGGAATCAGTTGCTTCTGTTGGTTATGACAATTTTGGTAGGTTACACTAACAATTTAAGAATTTCTCATAAACTGTGAGACATAATAGTTCTGATGCTAAAACTGTTGGAAATTTCACTTTTCCTAAAGTTTATGAAAAACAGCATCAAACACTAGTATATGAAAAAACTTCTTATATTTAACCATCCAAAAAGACACTGGATTTTCAAGTACCTTTTCAAGAAAGATACTGGATCTTACATCAGATTTTATGTGGTGTGAACAAACTGACCTTTGTATTTCCACTTTTCTGTGATATTGTAGCAGAAATATTTTTTTCTAATACATGCAAAATTAATGGGTAATCCAAGTCATGTTGATTGAGAATGCTGTAGTATTTGTTTTTAAAACTTTCACCTTGGTCAACATCAATTTTACCATGTCTCTATCAGGGGTTTAAAGGACTTTCAAAGGAAACTATGAGCTGTGAGCTAGCATGAAATGTTTCCTTTTTCCCGCGGAGACATTGTGTCTCCTCTATTAAGGTCAATTCATTGGGAAGGGCAGGTGTATAACAGGTATGCAGATTTCTGTCAGCCAAATGTAGAGCATCTCTAACCAGGTACTTTGAATGTGAACTTCACACCACCTTTTGTTTTTCTCCTTCACAACTTGATTCAGGGATATTTCATCCCAAGACCCGTTTTGAACATTTTTTTTTTGTTATTCTTATCAGTTTTACCAAAGATTTCTGTTCAGAGAGATGTGTCTGATTTTCGTATTTTCCTTTGGAAAGCTTATGGAGGGCAAACACTGCATTTATAAAAGTGTAGCCATACATTGTGATATTAGTAGTTGTGTTGCATCTAGTGATACTGCTACTAAACTGAACTTGTGGACTACATCAACAAAATCTAAACTATTTTTTAGATTTCGTCGAAGTTTCAAGGAATCTGTTCTCTATGCAATTGAATGCAACAGATGATGGCCAAAAATCTCTAACGTTTGGGGTCAATGAAATTGCCAGCTTACTGGATTCACAGGTAAAATACGTGCCTGTACAAGTGTTTAACTGTTGGGAGGACATTATTGGAGAGCTTATTATATGTAAGATTACTCTGAATCTTGGGCAGATGTTTAAAACAGCTCCATATAATGGTGTTCTTTAAGATAATCTAGTTTCTGTGAAGTGATTTAAAGCAACATACTTTGCAGAAACCAATTCATGTAATTGTATAGTGACTTGTTACAAGTATAGACAACAGTGATTTACTGAGGGTTCTTAATGGAATACATATTGCTACTACCTGCGTGAGTGATAAACAATTATTTGGCCCAGTGATTTCAACTAATGCTACAGTGAAAATCACTTTATTCTAGAGGTTACTTTAAGAAAGAGCATTTGCAGCGTAAGAATACTAAAATAAAATTATGTATTATTTAAAATATTGAAGAAAACCGAGGCGATTAGTGTTGTATTCTTGTACTTCTAAAACTTTTTTATTAATCCTTTTTAAGAGGAAAAATAATTATTTCTTTGGAAGATAAGTTGGTCAGGATTTTCTTAAACATTTTTCATATATTCAGAGCTTTAAATTATCTTAAAATGAAGATTGTATTCTCATTTTATTAACAAGACCTTTTAAGTTTAGATGTTAAAGATTATGGAAGATACAGTCAGCAATACATTCTAGCCTTATGTATTTTAAATACGTGCAGTTTGTAACCTGTGATTCTTTGGAGGATGACATGGACAGACTTAAGAAAGAAAGAAATGAAGCTTTAAAAGAAATGAGTAAATTAAAGGTAATACTTAATTTTTATTTGTTTTAAATTATTCAAGAGACTAATTTCTTTTTGAGTGTATATAGTAATTTACTGGTTTTCTTTCAATATTATGTACAATTTTTGATGAAGGCAGAGCAAACAGTCCTAATCATGTTTGAATATTGTATGCTTACAATATATTTCTGGAGGCAGTGAATTTTATTTGTTATACTGAATACTAACGCATTTTTTAATCTGATACACAGAGAAACGAGACTAAGCAGACATTTCACAAAACTGAATTTGGAGAAATGACTGATTTGCATAGCAATTTTATTTAGAAATATGTGATCCTAGTAACAGCAGTGTCTGAGCATATGCTAATACTTTTGAAAGAAGTCAGAACTGGAGCTTAAATTAATCTGTTTTCAAAATTAATACATATTTTCATGGACATTACAAAATACATAATAGCTAAAGCAACAAATATATTTATTGTTTCTTAATACCCTGGGTTACAACCACAATCTTATGCTCCTGAATTTCTTTTTTGACAGCCCAAAAGATAAAAAATTCTGGTTCTGTATTCAACATACCTAACTCTTGTTCTTGGACAGGACTGGAAAATTGATCCCAGGATACAGGAAATTCTACAAATTGCTTTCTGGTTCAAAAAAAAAAAATTCTTTCTTGCTATAGATTAAAAAAAGTTGGATTGACATGCCCAAAGATCTGTTCTTCGTTCTGTGCACAAAGATTATTCTTCTGAGAAATTTGTCCTGAGATGAAAAAACCTGTTTTACGTTGAACATTGAAGTAGTGAATACTTACCATGAGTCCCTAAATTGCTGATGTTGAAAACTGGCAATGATCAATTTATAATTGCCTCATTTCTTATACTCTTCCCTTAACGATCTACAGTCAAATACTTGATACTGAGTGAGAAATACCCTTGGTCTACCTCAGTATGAGAATCTTTAGGCTTTTATAGCAGTTTTTTCAAAAATTTCATTAGAACTTTTTACCTTCTGAAAGTGTTGTACCTACAGGCTTCTGGTATAATCATAGAATGGTTTATGTTGGAAGAGACCTGAAAGCCCATCGAGTTCCAACCCCCCTGCCACAGGCAGGGACACCTTCCACCAGACCAGGTTGCTCAGAGCCCCATCCAGCCTGGCCTTAAACACTTCCACGGATAGGGCATCCACAACTTCTCTGCGCAACCTGGGCCAGGGCCTCACCACCCTCACCGGGAAGAATTTATTCCTAATGCCTGCTCTAAATCTTCCTTCTTCCAGTTTAAAGCCATTGCCCCTTGTCCTGTCCCTACATGCCCTCGTAAAAAGTCCCTCCCCAGCTTACTTGCAGGCCCCATTAGGTACGGGAAGGCTGCTCTAAGGTCTCCCTGGAGCCTTCTCTTCCCCAGGCTGAACAACCCCAGCTCTCTCAGCCTGTCCTCATAGGAGAGGTGCTCCAGCCCTCGGATCATCTTCGTGGCCTCCTCTGGACTCGCTCCAACAGGTCCATGTTCTTCTTGTGCTGAGGACCCCAGAGCTGAAGGCAGTACTACTGGGAGGTCTTGCCAGAGCGGAGCAGAGGGGCAGAATCCCCTCCCTCAACCTGCTGGTCACACTGCTTTGGGTGCAGCCCAGGACACGGTTGGCATTCTGGGCTGCAGGCGCACATTGCTGGGTCGTGTTGAGCTTCTCATCAATCAGCACCCCCAAGTCCTTCTCCTCAAGGCTGCTCTCAATCCATAAGTATGTGAGTGAATGAATGGTCAAACATACAATGTTGACGATAACTTGACCTGAATATTAGGTTGTACAGCAATCTGTTAAAGCCATAAAAATATCTTTATCCTGCTCGTTTGTTAGGTTGTTAAGTAACAAGAGACTTAAAATGTGTATTTTACTTATATCACAGAAATCTTCAGTAAATAATGCTCAGATGCTCAAGGAACTTAAACACTATCAATGAACTCTCTGAAAAACTAGTTTTTAGAGATTAAAATTTGATTTTGTCTCAGGTTTTATAAAAGTTGTTGATTATTTATTAATTCCACCAGAACTTTTTTAATATGTGTGCTTATGATTATACAACACTATTAACAGACATATGTTGTGGGCTAGAAGCATAGTAGTTGTACAGAAGGCAGTAAGTACATTCGTAGAAGTTTAAGTATTGCTACCTGTAGTTTTGAAAGAGATAAATAGGTTTTAGGAATAAAAACTCACTCTTGTTCAGACCTAATTATTAAGGTTTTGTTTTGTGGGTTTTTTTTCCAAACAGGAAAAATTGTCTGAATCTGTGAATTTACAGAAACAGTTAAGAGAGGAGCTACAAATAGTCAAGCAAGTATGTTGAAGTTTCTTAAAAATACAATTATTCTCTTTTTTTTTCCTACTATTTTTTGTGCAAGGGAGAAGGGAGCACTTCTTTCTCTCTTGATGTCATATAGACTATACACTCACACTGATTTCAACAAAAAGTGGTTCTTTTGTTACTACAAAACTTTTGATTAGAATTGGAGAATATTGATCCTTAAGTTTTTAAACCAATAATACTTCTCTGCTGTTGAATTGAGGTAGGAACCATAAGACAAGCTGGATCGGTTAAGTTGGATAATAATGTAGTAGTACCTTTCTGATCTTAAGTGTTCTTGAAGTGATTTTGCTGTTCTTAGACAACAGTGTGCCTAATCTACAGTCCTAACGTTAGCTGCTTTATATGTCAGCCACAGTTTTAAGTCTGAAAAAATAGATGCACTTGACAATTCTACCTGATACTTACCAGGAAAAAAAAGGTAGTAAGTGTTTTGTAAGGAATGTCTTGTTTCTGTCTCCATATCTATCTATAATTATGAGAGAAGAAATCAGAGTTTCTTATGAAATTTAGCTTTCTTGTGTCTCTTAAAGAAAATTCCTATTTATATGTAAGTCTCGTGTCATTTATAGCCTGGATTCAAAACCAAGTAACTTTCCTGCTTCTACTGAACATCATCCTGTCAGCTCTTTTCTTATGAGCTGGTTGTCTTTCTTCTCTCGTGTACTGCTACAGGTATTCCTTGTGGGTTTCTCGTGGCTATCTGTTCCATCAGATGTCATATGTAAAAATGCAAAATATAGTTTTAAAATGTCTCCGTGTACTGTTATATTAGGATTAGTTTTACATTTTTGCTCATATATGTAGGTTTGTTCAGCACCTTCATTATCATTTTTTATTCCTTGAATTCCTGAGAACTGCTTGAAAGCATTTTCCATTAATATTGTGATGTTGCCCTCTGTACGCTGTGGAACAGCAGGGAAATAAATTGGATTCTTTTTTGGATAAAATTTAACTGGAAGTATGTTCCAGTAGTGCACCTCATGTTTCCATTCGCTAATGGGTGTTCAGTCCGTTGCTCTAGACTAGAGCAGATGTTCAGCGCATCAGTCTAGACTAAAGCTAGTACAAAGTACAAACCCCAAAATGCAGACAGTATGAACATCAGGTCCTCAGCATTAACTGTTTCAGTGCCCATACCTGCCCTTATTGGGAAGGTAGACTTGGACAGAGATGGTTTAAGATGGTGTTTTAAGTGGCACAACGCCCATTTTCTACCACACGAGGTCCTCCTGCTTTTATTTTTTCTCTCGAATACTGCCATAATGATGGTGAAGGTCAGCTTTGCAATACAAACCTCCAGGGCATAAATACTCTGATTTTCTAGTAAGTGTTTTAAGTAACTGCTGTTGAAAATGTTCCATATAGTGAAATGGAAGAGAAATAATAAATTATATGTAATGACAGCGCTGTATGACCTATTTTAGGTGTTACAAGCAGGCTTTTAATGAAGATCTTAGTTCTGTTCATACTTGGTGCATTTTCAAGTGTTTTGTATATATTTGTGTAGTTCAGAACCAGTATTGACGCTGAGCTTCATGGTGATACGAAGTTTAAAAAAAATAGGCTAGTTACAGTACAAGTTGCCATTTAACTTGAGCTGAAGTTAGTGAAATGAGTTAACGACTACATTATTGAGCCCTAATGACCCGATTAAAAGGGAACAGACAGACTTAAGTATGTGCTTAAGGTCTTCTGAATTCAATACAATTTAAACATTCTTTTTAAGCCACTGCTTTCCTGAAAAAACCAAGGTTTTAAATGAGGATATAAACTACCAGTCATATATTGGAGTATCTTTTGTGGTATTTCTATTGCCTACTAATTGTGAATCACAGCGATTACAGCTTAATTAGGACAGGCGTACAAATATTCTGGTTAATGAACATGTTTTGTTAGTACTGATTCATTAAATAGTGCTTGAATCAGTAGCTAACAGAATAAACAAACTCCTAAGATTAGAAATATTGCTAAATTTGAAATGAGGTAGTAATTATTTTCTAATATTGATCTGTAACAATTAAAATATATTAATTGATTCATTTTTACTTTGAGATTGTGATATAGCATTATCTTTGAGTCTTCCTTGAAATCATATGTAAGCAGAAATTGGCACAAAATATAGAAAGGCACTTTTGAGTACCTGAAGTCTTGTCAATACCATGAATGTGAAATCTGTAGTGATGTCTTCTGTGTTCCTGGGTGAGTCTGACTGTATTCTGTGCTGCCTGAAAAGTTTTGGTTATACCAACCTGAATGATCTCTTTACTACAGCTTTTTTAATGCAGTTACGGTCAGCTGAAGCACCTCAGTTAAACATAGTATCCCATCTTTATGACCTGTCACATGTACTGTTTGTGGTATCCCATAGTGCTGGACTTGTATTTTGTAGGGCTAAGATTTGCTATTCTATGCTTATGTTTTCTAAGGGGAAAAGAGGTGCTTTGAAGAGTAGGTCTTGAATGGCTGCTATTTTGGAAGCAGTATATAATTTATTTCACCCTGCCTGAAAGAAGCATTTGATTTCTTTCATTAGCTTTTTTATTTTAATCTATAGTAACGATACTCAGAGTTCTTTTAAAGGATGTTTTCAGCATACAATTTTTTTAAAATTAATGAATAAACATAATAGGATTGTAACTACAACTTTTTGTGTAGTTTAAAAGAATACCTTTGTTCCAGTGTTTGTGGTGGCTGGAATGTTACTCAGATAAAACCTTCTCCTGGACACCTGAATTTGTCCAAGGAAGAAATAGAACCTGGCTTTGAAAGAAACCTGTACCTTGAAATTGATTCTGTAAGGATTCAGTTTCTCTCCTCCAGCCTGCAGTTTCTTACTTGTAGTGGCTTCATACCAGATTAGGACAAATGATCCCATCAGGCATTTATACAGATGAAATATTAGCAGCTGCAGATTCCATTTCTGTTGCATCTTCTTTCATACGAGCAGTTGAATGAGACAAGAGGAAGCGTGGCTGAAGCATGCTGTTATCCATGTGTTCTTCACTGCTGGGGGCCCCTTACCTGCATAAGTAAAAGAACCCATCATGTCACCACAGTGGTAGCTTCAGTACCTGTAGAATGGGGAAACCTGATGGAATCGTTTCCCTTTGTGCCTCCCTGCTCTAGCAAACAGCTCTGGTTTGTCAGAAAATTTTGCTAATTCAGTTGTAGAGTGGATAATCGTTCCATTGTAATGTAAGAATCCATTGTTCGTTAATTACTCCTTTAGATCTTTCACTGTTGAAATCTGGTCATGCTTAGTCTGCTATTACAGAGAAATTAATATTCAACAGTTGGGTTTCTGGAAAAACAATGCAGGAGTAAAGGCAATTCTGGATTATAAAAGATTAAACCTTTATCTCAAGGAGGTCTTATTTCAAAATGAAGACCTCCTTTTTCATTATAGCAATATTCCCATGACTTTTCTGATGTCAGATTATTTAAATAATTCCTATGTGTGCATTTTCAAGATGCCACCCTTTGTCAAGGCCTCTGTGTTCATTCATATTAGTCAAACTTAGCATCAGAGCATCTTCTCACTTTCGTCTCCGAGAGTCTTTTTCCCACCTCCAGCCTATTATTGAAGGATACCTTTGCTACTGAAGGCTGCCAGAATCATCCTCTGTACCAGTACGGCCCAGCTTTTCTTGCTGTTGAGTCAGACGGCTTCTTACAGTGGCAAGAAAATGCCCTTTACAGAGGCAGTAATTTTGACCTCTGCTTCTGTAGATTCATAACTACTTAGAAGCTACTGTGTTCTCTGGATTGTTTCTAGGAAAAAGAACTGCTATGAGCAGCTTGCAGGAGGGGTGGATTGTTCAGGTGGTCTTTGGGTGAGTGCTTTCAGTAATGGCCCCTTGCACTGCTTTTAGTGCTGTGCAAAGAGACAACTGTAAAACGGACTAGCTGAGTAACAGCAAGACATGCAGCAATAAGCTTTTGAATTGCCTCTGTTTCCAGGTGGAGGTGATCATCGTGTAGAATAGGCTTATCTAATGCTTTGTGCTTCCAAAAGGAAAAAAAGTAAAAATCATACTTGCTGTCAAATTAAAGGTTATTTAAATGTATCTCTTATCCCTTGTGTTCCTAAAACAGAACCCTCTAAACTATATAACACCAGTGTTATACATATTCACTAATTTTGTTGTTTGCTACACGTGTAATTATTTCTTCTAATGCTTTATTTTCTAAGAGACCAGAATGTCCCTGGCAATCATCCAAATTGGTATTATATTGCAAAACCATTGTAAATATGAGGAAGATGATGTCCTAAATATATGTCATTGAGATTGGTTTACTTATGGCCTGAAATAAATATATGTTTATTAAGACTAACAGTGTACAGGTTAAAAGTAATCTGAAGCTGAGATTGGTACATCGTTTTACAGAAAAAAAAATATGACAAAGTATAGGAAAACCTGACTTGAAGGATATTGATTGCACAGAACAAATGCTTCTAAGTTAGGGAATAATAGAATTAAATCTGCTTTTGTGAGCTTAACTGACCTCTCTAGACATTTATATTATGACACCTGTTAAATATTATATGATGTTTCTTCCACAAAAATAGGAAGATTTGGTCATTTAGGTTTTTCAGAAACAGTGATTTCAAGCCTAGTTTCTAGAAGGTTATTTCCTACTTATTATAGATTCATAGTGTGTTTCCCATCTAGTTCCATTCCCAACCAGGATATAGTTGTAATAATAAAATATCATAGATAGACTAGGAATAGGATATTCACCTAAGTATCCTTAGCTGAGGAATTTGTACAAAGAATTTCTAGCCCTCTGAATTTGTATATTTAAAGCTTATAACTTTAGTGATTCAGAAAATTCATATAAAGTGACTTTTTCCACAGGTTAATAAAAAGCTAAGGGGAAAGGTGGTTTACTGGTTTTGGTGCCAGTGAGCCTGTATGTCTACATTTTTGGTGAGCAGTTTGTTTTTTCCTAGTGTAAACTCTTCTGTTGCCCAGACCTTTGGTTTGACTTTCTAAATTTACAAATCAAAGTTAACTTGAATTAATATTCAGTAGTAAAATGAACTGAGCAATATCCTTCTTGAAATCAGATTTTACAACATTTAGGGATTACTTTAGCTGAATTAAAAGCTAAGAGTTTCTAATTTCTGTTTTTCCATACATTATTTATATATAAATTTTATCTAACACTCTTCTGTGATAATACAGAATAATGATATAAGAGCAGGAACTAGGCAGAAAAATAGAAACTAGCACTTATTATGAGAACAGTGTGGACTGAATACTTGCATTAGAAGTCCATCTACATGTGTGAACTCTGAATTGAGTGTGAATTCAGGCAATAATAATAAAATGAAATAATATCTCATTAAAGTACTTTTTTAGTATAGAAGCGATGGGGCAGATTAACAGCATCAGGTGCATTTCTATAAAACCTTTAATTCAATTAGATTTACAGTAATCATAAAATTTGTGATTGAATTTATTAGGAAAATTATCTTGCTCTGTAAATAGCTGTTCTTTGTTTGCACATCGTACACTTAGAAAATTAGCTATTGAACCATCTAACCATAAATACTAAAAGGTAGCCCTAATGCCAACTGCAGTACTTTTGAGCTAAATCTGTACTTCTTTGTTAGCTGGAGTTGTACCTTTTCAATTAAATTCTATCATCTATAGGAAGCCAAGGCAGCTGTAGAAGAGACAAGAGCCCTGCGAAGTAGGATTCATCTTGCAGAAGCGGCACAAAGGCAGGCTCGTGGAATGGAGATGGACTATGAAGAAGTAATTCGCCTATTAGAAGCTGAAATTGTAGAGCTGAAGGCTCAGCTCACTGATCATTCTGGCCAAAATAAAGTAAGCAAAGCAGTCGCCTGTTGGAGTTACCATGGTTTCCTTGCTGTTGTCATGTATCTTGTTTTCATTTTCTTTTCATCTGCTTTTCTAAAGTAGGTCACTGTTTGTCTTGTATTATTCAATAACTGGAATGATGTGTAGTGAAGGGGGTAATGTGAAGTGTATGAGTCTTCTTTTATCCAGATATCTTTGGGCTGGAAAAATAGGAGCTAGAAGCATATGTGGGTCATAGGTCAAAATGGCACATCTCGAGCGTTAAGGCATGGAATAGTTTCTGGACTGCAGATATATTGTCTTTAAAAACTATACGTATATTTGTATGCTTTTGTATTTATGTAAAAATGGCCTTCATATGTATGTTTCTGTTTGGCAAATAATAACAATATAAATAATAACAATATAAAGTCTAGTACTGTTCTTAAGTAAATTCAGATTTAATCAAGATAATAATTTAAATGCTACTAACAGTATCCTGGCAAAAAAATTTTTTTTTTTTTAATTGAACCTCATATTTTTAAAACTACTTCATCTGCAGTGAGGCATTTCAAAACATGCTAAGGAATAAAATATTTGAGGCACTTTTAAATTTTTCCCCATAATTGTGGATTCATTTTCTACATGCAGTTTGAACAAGTGCAAGCACGTTGGCATTTGTGTGTTTACCTTGTTTTTCTCATAAAAAATGGATGTGCATATGAATTGATGAAGAAAAGCTACTAATGAGCTCTATGGTATACGAGCTTGCAAAGAAGCAACGTAGCAAGTACGTGTAGCTCCCAGGAGGAATTCCTCTCATCTAATTGTGAGTGTGTGTGATGAGATGAATCACACCCTAGAAGTTCTTTCTGAACATCTGGGTGAGATGCCCCATTCTTTTATGTCAGATATTTTTGAAGCACTGTTTGTTTTCTGAGACTTGAATAAATATCAAAATTTTAAGAAATTCAGAGCATGTGGGTTGCTTTCTTAGAGATTTGTTTCTGAGATGCTAGCTTGAATTCCTGAAATTCTGAGTAAGCACTTGAATATCTGAGTTGAGATATGATTCTCTGCATTTCTTATTCAAAAGAAGCAGTATCAAGTAGGTGCCAGCTCTGTAGTATACTCTTAGTATAAAAGAGTGACGTCCCTCTAAGTTTCTCCAAGATATGCCATAATTAGTCTGTTGGCCAAAGAATGTACAGATACAAACTAGTGGACTGAGTTTGTTCATGTACTGGCTATTTATGACACCCTGCTGACAAATACAGTCACCATCAGGTTGGTATTTTTGATCTATTCATAAATCGGTTCAAACTGTTTTAAGTTTCCGCCCTATCACTGTCATTAGCTGCCAATTTCAATTTACCGTTATATCATTTGCCAAAATCTGTTGCAGTTTGGGAGCTGATTGACTAGCAGATCAGGCATACCTGTCTCAGGAGCAGCTATATTTTTCAAAAACATAGAAAAGAGTGTGTATGAAACATTTCAGACATTCATTTGAATTCACGCCATGTATCTGTGTGAGCCATGGGAGAAAATTATTAGAATAAAAGCCTTAAAATATCTTTCCCAGGATAACATCCAAGACTTGAGAAAGAGAGTTACAGTACTTGACTGCCAGCTGAGGAAATCAGAATCTGCTAGGAAGACCTTTGAGGTGGCTACTGAAAAATTGCTACAATTTGTAGAGGTAACTTTGCCTTTCATTCCTAGCAATATTTTATTTGGAGAAGTTTTGTGTTGATGTTTCTGAGGAATAAACATAGTAAACTGACTATAAACTAGTTTGCAGAGATTCTTTCATTGCTAGAAATAAAGATGGTGTATAAATGTACAGATCCATGTAGGAATTTCCTTAATCTTCATCTTTTGCTATACTAAACAAATGAAACTGATCAGATAATTTTTTTCCACCTGATTTTTCACAAACTCATATCAATTTCTGTGAAATGCCCCAGAGGAAAAAGGCAGAAAAAGTAATACTTGATAATATTTTGAAAAGTTAAGAAATAAAAAAAGTGATGTTATTATATTTATTTAAAGGAGTTATAATATTTTGGTTTTTACTTTTACACTTCAAGCTGGGAGAGACTAGCCTCTTTAATTACAAATCAAATCCCTTACGTGCAAATAGAACATTAAATTATAAGGTATTAACTTTTTGACTGTGTCGATTTATAAACTGTTAACTTCTTGATTATGGCCAACAGGTTGTACATGAACTACTTTCAGATAACTCTACTTCCTTGGCAGTTTTAAGGTAATGAAATGGCATAGTTATTAATATTGGAATGGCAATATTAATACTGAAAAATTCTACTGTTGTTTTAAAGTCTCCAAAACCTGTCTTGTAGCTATTTTTCCTATATTTTTGCTGTGTGTTTCTGAGCATGGTTTTATTGGAGAAGAGGGAATGGCATGAATTGTAAATTAGGCTTTCAGGATACAGCTTCATTAAAAACCTCGGAGTTAAATTAAAACAGTTAGTAATTACATAGCTATGGTTGTCTGGATGTTTCTATAAAGTAATTATAATGTGCTGAGGATTAGTTAAAATTGCAAGGAACCTTAACAGTGGGTTATAATTATTTTTTTTTTTATTATTTTTAGATTTACCCAAGTGATTTTGCATCATCATTAATCCAGTAGCATATAAATAAATCAATAACATTTGTATCTATTTATGTTTTATTACTTTTCTTGTTTAAAAAGGTACCTGGGAATATTCAACAAGACTTAGAGCAGCCTTTGGTCCTTCAGAATATCAGCATGATTGTGCCTATATATCCCAGTGTTCTGTTAATATTTATGTAACAGTAAAGTTATTTGGTCTCTGTCCTGCCATCTTTTTCAGTAAAGCTGTCAAGGAAATAAAATCTATTTAAGTGAAGTTAGCTGGAACTTTATTCCAAAAAAATCTGCAGGATCAGATCAACTATTATATTGTAGATGTCTGTGTTCTCATATGCTAGTCCTGATCAATCTAATGCAGTTCCCATTGGCACTGCACAAGAGTGATGTTACATGTTTTAGAAAGTTTGTAGACTTTATTTTATTAAATGGATTGAAGTATAAAGCACAAAGCTAAGGTGACAAACTGACTCACTAACAGCATAGAAGATAAGAACTGGGTCCCCTAAAGCAGTGTCCCTTCTTAAATGCTAATATGAAAATTACTTTTAAGTTATTTTCCTGATACCCACTGAGTTCCTGACACTATATTTTGAGATGTGAATGTTGATTTAATTGAACTTTCCTAATACCTTTGTTGTACAGACAGAACCATTTCTGAGGCAAACTCATCAATTTGGTAATATGAATTTTTTTTGTTCATACCATGAGACCAAAACCAATCTAGAAACACAAGTTTACTTCACTTAAAACTAGCCATTTTTTTTATAATCTTAAACACTATTTTTTGTTCCCTTAGTGACAGAAGAACAACATTGTCTACTAAAGCACTTCTTGCACGGTTGGGAAGGATTGGACCTACTGTCACAACAGCTCTTGCAGCAGAGGCCAGAGACCTTGCCAAGTCTGTCCGTGCCATTTTGGAAGTAGATTGTGAGTTAGCGTGTGCATCTTTGTGTGTGTATACATGCAGACACGCACACATAAATACTTCCTTCCTTCCATCAAATGTTGTGCCTTTAGCATCTTACTTGCTAATTGAGAGTAGTGTGTTTCAGTGGTCACCATGTGGGTGTTTGTCCCAAATGTGGAAAAAAGATCCCGAGTAGAGGTTTTGTTGGGATTGGGTTAGGTTTGTGGTATAGGTAAGGGGTCCAGAGTCCAGTGTCTTTTAGAATGGTGGAAGGACCTGTAAATGCAGGGAAAAGGCTGCTACTGCTAAGGGCTGTCCCCCGTGTTTTTCTAAGCCTAACCCTTACCATAACCTAAACTTACCCTACCCACAATCAGAACCTTCTACAGTTGGACTGTTTTCATATGGCAATTTGGCCACTTTTCTGTTGGGTGCTTCACCCAGTAGAATTTGTTCACTGTATTATTTTTTTCATTCCTTAATTCTGGCAGCTTAAGATTTAGTACTTCCTAGGACTGATACAGAATGCAGAAAGAGGGAAAACTAGTATCTATCTAGAGTTAGAAGTGGTTTTGCCTATTAATGCCCTTAAAATAGTAAGTGCATTTCCTCCTTAACTTTAAGCAGATATTCCAGGATAGTTTATTGCATGCATTTTACCCGTGTCAAATGGGTGTAATGATAATGTCCTTATTTAAGTAAATTTGGTATGTTTTCTAATTCACTGAAGGTTGTAGAATAAATAATAGTGAGATTTTTACAGAAAATATATAGACTAAACAAAGAACAAAAAAGTAAATTAAATAAATCTTTGTAACAGTGTTTTGAATTATAATGAAGTCACAGAATATTTTCGGATCATAAATATTCTTCCAGGAGAATGCATCGGGTATTTCCTTATGTTATTTCTGATAGCATGTATTTTGTTTTGTTAACTGTCAGTTGGAAATTTCTTCTGTTTATATTAAGCCAAAGAGAGGAGTTTTGTTCCTCTTCTATTCTTTTACTAGCTTTTAAGAAGAATACAGTGGTTTAATAAATCAAGAAAATATTTCTTCTTCTGAGGTTTAACATGGAAGTAGGTAGACATTTCTGAAAAGACCTAATAATTCAGAGATATACAATACATTTTATCCCATTCTAGAAGGGCTGACTGGGCAAGTGATAAGTTCTACGCAAGCTGAAATTAGTTGCCTGTTATAGAGCATAGCAAAGCCAACGGATGGTACTGGAGGCTTCAGTGATTTGCTGCCACAGAGCAGATGATTTAAAGCTCTCAGTGGATTTAGCTTTTCTTTTTATTTTTGTTCTTCTGTTACCCTTGCCTTTTGCACAATCTCTTTACTTTCAGGTTCATCAACAGGCTTTTATCTAACAAAGACCTCATGAAAGGAAAAATGAAAATGCAGTATTAAAAAGTTATTTTGGTTCTCTTAATACCATTCATCACTCTTCCAAAAACAATATACTGATGCCTTTCTGTAGTTCAAGATCATCTTGATCTAAACGTTAAGAGGAAGAAGTCAGAAGTAAGCATCACGTGGGATTCTAGAGACTTGAGTTTCCTTGTCTCAAAAGACATCACCTGAAACTCATTGGTGGGAATATTTCCGTTGACCCTGATGGGTTTAAAACAAAAATGATGAATGCAGTCTAAGTGAACAGGATTTTGGAAGAAAAGTTTTAATAACTCAGTATCTTAAACCACACAGATCTAGATCCTTCTTCCAAGATGCGAAGAACGCATCACGATGAGAAGATTTCTCCAAAATTTTAGAAACTCAGAGTGTTATTGTTAAGGATTTTTAAATATGAGTTTTGAAGTCAGGAAATGCCCTTGAGTAATCAAATCCTCTAGAGATTTTAAATCTGGTATCAGTTCATTAGCAAAGAAGATAGATATTTTTATTTAAAATTAGATGTGAAATGGCAGAATAAATCATTCATAGTGCCGGAGGACAGTGCAGGTTCAGTGTCAGTTCAGTACGCACCTTCATCAAACTATAATTAAAGTATAAAGTTATTCCAGAGTATATTTTTCCTGGAAAACTTCAAGCAGAAAGTTAATGCCAAAATGAAGAATATGAAGATTTCCAGAATCATGTAAAACTAGCAGAATTTCCTGACTGTAATGCTCTATTTTCATACCGGAATGTTTACAAAATGTTATTCTGCCGAATTTACATGAACATGTATCAAAATGTCTTAATGAAGATTTTATTGCTGTATGAAGTGAATGTAGCCTCCAGTTTCATTTGGAGATCTGTGTATATTCTCAGGTCATTAACAGAAATCTGTTCCCGTTGGTAAAAATTATGCTAGTACATGATCAGTTGCTGTAATAAACTGCATGCAGTTGGAAATCTAAGAAGCTACTGTGGGTTATTATACAATTCCAATCATCGAATGATTGTGTATTTTAAACGTATTTACCTATAATTGAGCAGATGTGTCAGTTCTAATCCAACTTAAATGGATTGATTTGCAAAAATAAAACAAAAATGGCCTGACACATTACAGGAGTTTTTGGAGAACCGATGAATTATGACAGTAATCATTGTATCAAAGATTTGAATATCCTTTTTACATAGTTTGGAATTAATTTAGAAAGGGACTGAATAAATATGTTTGTTGAGGAAATGTTTCAAGATAGGAAAAATGTCTTATTTGACATTATTTATGCAACATTTATTATATCACTCTATGGAGAAGAAAGCAAAATAAGAAGATAAAAAGATTGTTCAGAACTGTCCAGAATATTAGAATTAGAGTTACGGGTGGAAGTGAAAAGAATAACAGTGGTCAGGAGAGAAGATAACTGGTTTTCCACCAGTGACAATAATAGAGTTCTGTCACATTGAGGTGTTTGTATCATACTACACAGGAAATCGTGCAAGGAAAACTTTTAGTTCTAAATGCAACTGAATTCTAACATGTGGTTGTGTCAAACATAATAGGTAGGATACATGTTAGAAAGCTCTGGAGTCACAGCAGGGATCCATTTTATGAACCTGAGAGTTAAAAATAGCTCTGCAGAGAAGGATTTAAAGATTGAACGTCATCCTTCTGAGTTCATTCTGATATGGAGAGTATTACAGATAGATTTGGGCTCTGACGAGCTTGTGTATGAGATTAAAGCTTTAAATCTCACTTGCTTTCCCTCTCTCTCTCTCTCTTTTTCAAAATAGTAGTTAAGGCAGAGAAACTATTTAGTAGCATTTTGCCTGCAGTCCTCTATGCCAGATTCTCACAAAATGTTTCCCATGTGATCTTCGGATTTCTTGCAGATGGGCTGTCATAAAAACGGAGGTCTCATGTATGTAGCGTTTCATACAAGTATAATAGATGTTACATTGCAGACTGAAGGTTTTCCCTTTTTCGAGAAAGATGACCACAACATAATTTGTTAATGAATTCTTAGAGAATTGAAGTTAATATTTTTGAGATTGCTAAGTGGATAAAAAGTGTATAGCTGGGCAACCATCATGATATATTTTACCTTCTAAATAGAACTTCTCTTTCATTATTTGCTTCATTTTGTACAACATGAAGTAAAGGAGCCTTAACCAAAATACCTTTTTGATTAATTTACAATACATGTGAAACAAAGTCTAGGTGCAAAGACCAGGTTGTGGAGTGTTCTTCCAAAAGAAAACTACTTCCCTTCTTAAAGATCATCCTTGACAACCAGGTCAAAATGACACATTCATGAATTTGCCACACAAACTGTCCTCTTCCTCCGTAATAGCATGACATTTTGCCTGAGGGAAGAGGTTTAAAGAAGTTCAGTGTATTCCTGAAAATCTCCAAGTACATATTGTCTTGTGATAATGCTGCAGATCAGTTTTCAGCTTTGTAGGCTGAATGACAGCTATGTGAAGTCAGTTTGGCAATTCTTCAAGCGAGGACTCTGGTTAAAGAAAAAAAAAAAAAAACAAAAAAAAACACACAAACCAGAACCGCAGCTTGTTTTTCAATGCTTACTACTACAGGATCCTCAAGATCCAGAAATGCAAATAAGAAAGTAATAAACAGAATAATCAAGGTCATTCCTTGAAAGATTCATCCTTCGTCTTCTTGAAAGACTGTAAGCTATTTTTAGAAACTAAGTCCTGAGAGGCCTTTCTGCTTTGTAGAATACAAGCATCTCCTGAAGGCATAAAATTACTTTCATCGTACAAAGGATAATAATGCTTCAGTGAAAGAACTGTAGCATTTAAAAGTAGTTGCTGGCTGCACTTAGTAGACCATATGGTGCAAATCATGCTAAAAAGGATTGAGAAAGCATTTTCTTCTTTTCTATTACAAAATTAGAAAAGAAATACTTAGTACTGGTAATGGCCAAAATCTGATTAACCCTGGAACATACTTATCTCTTCATAAAATAGCAGGCAATCGGCATTTTGAAGTGTGCAGCTTTCAAGTATTTCAGCTGCTAATTTCCTCACTCTGCCTCTGAAATTTCTGGCCAAAAATACAATCTTGTTCTTGTTGATATAATCCCAGTAATCAGTATCCATTAAGTGCTATGAAGCCTGCTT